CTTGCAAGGCTGTTCCCAAAATGCAATCGGAGCTTACAGTAAGTATTGAGTAGCAAACTTGTGTTTTTCCAAAGTGATGAAGCTTTTGCATCTCATTGTACTAACTTAAATTGCATATCACGGCAGACATCTCAAAATACATAGTCTTCTGGGGGCTAAGCATATATTAATACATTTTGGTAGAGAGGAATATAGGCCTACTGTCATATAGGTTATGTTATCGGGCATCCTTCTAATTCCCTTGAACAACCAAGATTGAACTTTTGAACTCTTTATAATTTCTATTATCTAGTCCAGTTAAAGTCCAGGGGAGGAAGCCCCATCATAGTAAAGAGGATACGAATGTGATGTGTGTAGTTCTTCATAGCCTCTTCATTTTGCTCTCAAAGTGCACGGAATTGATGGATTTTTAACAGAATGTAGAAAAAAATTCTCCCGGGGGGGCATGCCCCCGGACCCCCCTAAAGGGGCTGTGTTACCCTTGGGGCTAAGCCCCCCTTGTTCTTGAAACCTAGTGACGCCCCTGCTCACAGCATTTTCTCTCACAGGGTTTTCTCTGTTTTGGTCAAATGACATACAAAGTATATGGCTTTATAGACTAGTTGTGGCTGGATTTTTTTTTCCACCGAGAAGTATGTCTGACATTCATGATGGTAAACAGGTCTGTGGGCAGAAACAGAGGGCCCTAAAATCAAACTTGGCCACCCATTGACATTACAAAAAAACCCCAAACAAACAAACGAACTAACAAACAAAACAATTAAAATTGATGGAGCTCTCGCTATCTTATCTAAATACAGTATACATGAAAACACTTCTCACTTTCTTATGACCTTTGCCCGAGCTAGGACTCACCCTCTGCATTCTGACTGTGCGTGCGTACGTGTGTGTGTTTGTGTGTGTGTGTGTGTGTGTGTGTGTGTGTGTTGTGTGTTTGTGTGTGTGTGTGTGTGTGTGTGTGTGTGTGTGTGTGTGTGTTATAAACTCCAGCCCTGGCAAACATTAAAGGACATCCACCACTGCGCTGGTATCATATGTCCGTGTGTCATGAAAAGCGGGCTGTGGCGGGTGGGGGAGTGGGGTTTGCCGGCAAATAACTTGGGCACGAGGGGCTTGATGTCTTTAAAAAGAGCATCACTTCTTCTGTCCCAGGCTACGTGAGATCATCTGGCGTACGTACGCGATGGAGCTTCCCCAGCTAGAACACACGGTGAGACGCAGAAGGTGTGACAGCAGCACAGGTGAGCTGCAGAGAGCCTCGCCCTATTTGTGGTTGTGTAGTATGATTAGCGTTGGGGTGCCATCGGTGGAATCGTGAATAGCACAGTTCTGAGGTTGAGGGTCAGAGATTCAAAATCTGGCCACTGGCATTCCTGCATGGTGTTTCCCCAGATACTCTGGTTTCCTCAAACATTCCAAACACATGCTCGTCAGCTTCATTGAAGACTTTAAAGTGGCAATAACATGCCTTCCGGACTGCTCAGACACACAGAATCAGAATCAGAATCAGAATCGCCTTTATTGTCATTGTATAGCATACAACGCTCAGGCAACATCAGTTTAAGAAATGCTGTCAAAGGTCAGATCCCCCAAAATAAAGTCACGCAATATAATAATAGTTTCGTCACTTTCTTTGGTCAAATGTTACTTTGCCATCACACTCAAAAAAGTGCAAAATAGTCTGAATGTGAATGCTCAATAAGCCATCACAGGACCAAGCAAAGTGTGGTGAAACTGTTGTGATAGTGCTTTGCTTTATTTTGAAGGCCCAACTTTGGACAGGATGTTATGCCGGTGTTTCCACAATTGTCAGAGTGTTGCCAACCTGGAGGCTTGTTATTGCCTTGACTTGTCGAAGGGGCACTTCACATATGTAAAAAGCTAATATTTTGTGAAAGAATACATTTGATCATGTCATTATTTTTCATGTATATGTAATCATTGAAAAAAATATTTTAAAATATGCTTTTTTGTGAAAGTGAAACTGATAAGATGCTTAGGGTGCAGTGTACACTCACACAAAAATATCTAATATTAATACATACACAGACACACAATCCCCCCTCCCCACTTCCCCCTAGAACCCCAGCAGTCGATTTGGGACCAATCCGTGGATCGCGATCGACTGGTTGGCCACCCCTGCTTGTATATACTTTCTGTGACATCTTTTGTGTCGTGGTGGGAAATAGTGAAGTACTTTCATTGTATGTACTTAATTTGAGTCGTCATATTCACAGAGAAGGCAATCATGGATTCATATACTGTATTCACAAATTTTGTGGGGAACCACTCCCCTGTTATTTACAAAACCTCTATCTTATTCGCAGTGTTGTTTTTTTTTTTCCAGATACCCTGCTTATTTGCATTTTTTTGTAAGTCACTCTTTTTCATCCCCAAAAAAATCCAGTCCTTAATTTGTCCAAAAAGGTTTGGAGCGTTTTACAACTTCCGTGGATGATGAAATGACTTTAAAAAAGCTATAAATAGAGAAAGGTCAAAAGTCATCTGTTTTTGAGATACAGTATTTCATTGATTGAGCTCTTGGGACCAGTCTTATAGGGGGCATGGGGTGTAAGTCAATTGAGATGGTTTTGGGCGATCAGGATTTCAGTGTATGGAATTTTTGTGACATTTTCTTTGGTGTTGTGCGATAAGATGTTTCTATTGAGATATGGGTCTTGGCTTGGTAAAGTTTGAGAAAAATTGCAGAGGAGCACAGAAGGCACCAGATAGAAGGAAGGCTTTTGTATGCCACCGTAAACACATTGATTTGTTTCATGCTGAATGCGTGTTGCGTCTTCGTCATCCTGCATCCCTCACATACTGTCGGGGATCCAGACAGTGTTGGTGCCATGCCAGCCAGACTAGACCGGGATGAGTCTCATTAGGCTCTGTCACTGACACAGTCTTTTCAACATTTTGCTCATGCGGCATAATCCATTGATAATCGAACAGCCTGGAGGCCGACAAGCTCCCCCGCCCGGCCCCGATACTACACACACACACACACACACACACACACACACGAGCCATCCGGGTACGTTGGCGGCACAAACGTCTACAGGCTGCCTTATAAATGACCGACACGTATTCATGTTAATCACCTTGCGCAACAGCAGAATCACGACTGGGTAAGAGACAAACACAAAGCTTTTTTCATCTTGGAGATTTGTCAATTTAAGGGGGACTTTGCAATTTAAGAAACAAACAAACAAGCAATCAAAAAAATCACTTTTTGTTCAATCAGTCATTGTGACTTGACAGTAGTATGTGATGGATATGATCTATTCTATGGTGATGGGCCTCTAATTTGGTATACATGAAACCAGCAAGCCAGAAAAACAACCAGTCAGAGAGAGAAGGCGTTACTTGCGGGGTGTCAATCAACTGCCGTGCACTCATTGCAGGCACACCATCGCCACCTCGCAAAAGCCATCCATTTTTTTGATCCGCTTATCCTCACAAGGGTCACGGGCGTGCTGGAACTCATCCTAGCTGTCTTCGGGCAGTAGGCAGGTTCCACCCTGAACTGGTTGCCAGCCAATCACCTCGCAAAATCAATAACATTTCGTGTTACATGTTACCTACCCGTTTAATGTACAGGTCAGCCTGAGGCTGCCAAAGCATTGGCTAAGAGGAAAGTAACTGCTGCCAAGGAACTAAGAAGCATGTTCCAAATCAGAGTATGGACTTTTTAAAAAGTAAACTAAGGATGTATCTTTTTAGCTTAAATTGGATTCTGTCCTTTTATTAATTTAATTTACTTTGAAACTGTTCGAGCAAATTCTTGACCTTAACTTCATACTCTTGTGTCCCTTTTGTTAACTGTTAGCTGTAACTGACTTAATCTTTTCATTGTTTACCCGTGATTTTCTAGCTGTATATTTTTTACTCTGGCATTCATTTGAATTGGCACGAGCTGATATTTCTCATTTCGTTTCATTGTTTGACTTTTTCATTTTAAGTTTTCTTTCTAGTATTTTATGGCAACTGCAATGGCGTGTTTGTGTATGCGTGCGTATGTTTGTGTGGCTAACATTTGTTCTGTGTTGTTCCTGTTGATTTATTATTTATTTTTATGTGTAGACGGGTCTTTGTGCTGCCATTTCCCATGCAAGAAAAGTGCCATGTAAATAAAAGTTAATTGATTGATGTTGAGTTCATCTCAAATGAGAGACGAACATCTTTGTATCTTGAGGAGGAGTTAGGTTTTGCCTGGGTTGTGAGTGGAATTGATTACCACATGTGTTTTAAATGCGGGAGGAAGCCGGAGTACCTGGAGAATACCCACGCAAGTACAGCAAACATAAGCAAACATGCAAACTCCACACGGGAAGGCAGGAGTGAAGCCTGGAACCCCAAGGCTCATAAATATGAGGCAGACATACTAACCTGCTTCCAGCAAATATAATAACCACACAAAGCCCATAAGTCCACTCCATAGCATCATGGATGAATTCACATTTTATGATGAATGACATTGTATGATTGATTCAGTAACTTCAAATTGCAACATTTGGTTCAATTAGAATATACAAGTGACTCCAGTATGCATGCTCAAGAGCAATCAGGAAAGGTGGAGGTGTGAAGCCAACGTCATTTCAAGAGAGAAAGGAACTATATTTGGCTGACTGAAAAGGTTCTTGTTGTTCTCATTTTTCCGGTAGCTGTGCTTTACTTGAGTATTTATTATGCTGACAGCTTTTTACTTTTCCTTGTTACATTTGTATTTTTTTCTCATTACTTTATCAAAAAATTTTGGAAGCTTCTCTGGTGCAAATGTGATGTTAAAAAAAAAAAAAAAAAACGAAGTAGAAAAAGGTCTAGTCAACCACAGTGGAAATCTTTATTCATCGAGTGATTGAGATTTTAAGGACTTGGCAACATGGCAGAAGATCAACCAGGGAGCATTTGCCACAACAGATTTGGAGGAGCAGGAAATCCGCCCTTCGTGGCCCTTTGGAAAAGAACTGTTTGATGTTGTCAGCTACAAGAATGATTTGTGGCAAAAGCATCGTCTTTTGCCAGCCAAAAAGGCAGTTCAAAATACAGTATGTCTGTCTAATCTGTAAAAAGGTATAGGCAACAAGTTAAATGGTATATTTTGAATAATTTAGCTGTTTTTTGTTTGTCAGTGTACATAGTGTATAGTATATATTGAAAGTATACCATTTATTCTTCACTAAGTTTAGCTGAGGTATTATTGGACATTGGTAGACATCTGTCCTTTGTTCAACTGTGACTGACACTGACTTTTACAACCCGTAGCTAACTTACCTTAGACCAGGGGTCGGGAACCTTTTTGACTAAGAGAGCCATAAAAGCAAAATATTTGGAAATGTATTTCAGTGAGAGGCGTATATATATATAT